CTTCCTGTCACTTTTGTACAGGCTAAACGGTAAGAGTTATCGAAAAAATTCTTCCGCCATTGTGTTTAGTGGGTCAAAATCTCAAGGAATGGCTGAAAAAAAAATTTTTCTTTTCCGGTCTGACCGAAAATTGCCGAAAAAGGGTTGGCTTTAGAGCGAATCTCGCTCTAGTTCACTTTAGCTTATATTGAATTTATATTTATTGATTTTTATGGTACAATTTATTAGAGGTATGCGAGAACTCGTAATTTACAAGCCGAGGTGAACTCGCTTCGATTGTTCGAGCCGAGTCGAGCGCTTGAATTTGCCGAATTACTCGAAATCGACGAATTGTTTGAAACAAAAGCGAGCTACTCGAAAAAATCGAACTACTCGAATATTCGATTTACTTGAAGATGAATTTTCAGCTAGAATATTCGAATAGTTCGATTTTTTCGAATGCCTCGCTTTTGTTTCAAACAGTTCGTCGATTTCGAGTAATTCGGCAAATTCAAGCGCTCGACTCGGCTCGACCGATCGATCATTGTTTGACTCGAAACTCGCACACCTCCACAATTTATACCTTTCTGGAAATGCAAAGTTAACTAATGAATGCAATGATTTTAAAAGGTGCGGCCCTCCGCCAACCTCCGCCTCCACAAAGTGGCCCCCAAGCCAAAACAATTGCCCACCCGTGATCTATGATATTGCGTTCGCAGTCGCAGAAACAATCTTCTATAATTTAATTTAAACGAATGACGCCTATTCGTATTGAATCAAATGAAATATCACTTAGTCTTAGAAGCAGCGAATCTCTTAAAGATTTCTTAAGTACCTTAAAAATAAATGAATCAGAGTTATAATTACACTGTTCCAGTAGTAAAATTATATACAGTATAAAAATAAATCATTACCTAATGATTCAAAAAACCTCTCTACAGCGTTATACTTATTTGCAAGTAAAAATAGCTGATCGTTCAGAACGGATATCAATACCGCTTCGATTTCCAATACGTAATATAGAACGCTAATCGCGATCAAACGACGCGAAATAGAAATTTTTTAAGCTTCCAAACGGTGCAATTTTCCATGTTCCAGGATATCCATTTATCAAATTGAACAATTCATTCCGTCGGTATCTTTCGCTCTGATTAATCGAACAAACCTGTGCTTTGATGATCGTACAATATTCTCCATCATCGCTCGAATGTTTTCAGCATTCATACGACGCGACGCGACGGTGTATTTTCCGCGAATATAGCTGCGCGATATTTCATATTTAAATATTTCATAGAATTTTGTCAGCAGATCCCCATTAATCGCCAGCGGCGAAACATCAGTGATAAACCGAACATTCAATATTTACTGTATTTCAGTGGTGAATGAAACTCATCAGAGAATCGCGTTTACAAATTCGTGATAAGTTCTCGGAAGAATATTTGCAATCTGCAACGCGTTTCGCGGAATTCAATTTCCAGAGCAAGTTCATCGCATTCAGAATTCATGGAAAAGCTCTTAAACCGTCTGAGTAATTCTAATTTCTACCGACAAACTTGTTAGGATGGGAATCGAATTTCAAAACTGCTTTCCAAATTTAGGTCTCGTCTTCGTATCCTGAGGTGTAGAAACATCGGACCGTGAAATTTAACCCTACTTAAACTGTCACACGAAATTTAAGTAACGTGATATATTAAATGATTATTTCAAGTGTAATTTGGAAAAGAACCCAACCTAATATTTCAAGTATCTTAGATGTTACGACAATTTATGCCCGAGCGATGAACGCTTCGAATATTTCAAAAAATCTCGCTCAGAACTGTTTCAAATTTCAAGCTGCCGTACGTAAAAATAACGTCGAAAAGCACCGCAGTGAAATCGGTTCAGCAGAGGAAAAGCAACGAAACGGTTGACGTGGAACGAAGAAAAATAGAGCTAAACAATGATCGTGCAGGAATTGGATACAGCTGTTTGTATAAGAGGACATCTTTGACGGTGAATAAATATAATGCAGCTTTCAGCGTTCCTTTGAGTTGTCCAAAATTAAATTAACGAACTAGAATAACGAGGTTCCTTGATTTCGAATTATAAGCGACAGAATCCAGGAGACGAGACTCTCCTCTCTGTTCTCGTTGCGAAGTTTTCCGAGTTGCTCTTCAGGGTGTAATATAATATTCATCAGTTTCCCTTTGAAAAAGATGACAATCACGTTTCACCGCGACACCGAGGAAATTTTCGCACAATATTCTTTAATCGAGCTATTGATTTATGAGATACCTGGTCTACCCGGTAACCGATAAAGTTATTGATTCGAACCAGACGGCCGAGATAAAAATTTGCAAAATTATTCATTTATCAATCGGCCTCATCGATTCAAGTGACAGATTTCAAAGAAATTTAACACCTTCAAAATCTCACATGAGAATATTTTCAACCATCCATGTTATTTGAAAATATCCAGCTAGGTGTCTAATTCTTCTAGGTATCTCAGATATCCGCTCGAAATGAATAGCTACTAAAGCAACAAAAAGATGTTTACACGTTTAATAAAAACGTAAGAGATGCAAGAGCGCAGCATAGAATGGAGAACAATTAAATTTTCACGCGAGACCTGAGCTCTGCGGCTCAACTCGTAGAAGCCAGGCGTTTAACGGTGACTGGAACGAGGTACACAAATTAACGAGAGACGCTTTAATATCATGGAAAAAAGTCGGAGAGAACTCTCCGGTTCCCGTTGGAGAAAGGAATACCTATCGTAGAGGATCCTCGAGCTCGTATTCGCTAAACTTTTCCACAATAGATCCAGCTGTTCGCGCGCGTTCGTACACACGGTTGACCCAATTTTCAATTACTTTCTCGGAGTACTAAAATGACTGCGATAGCATTCAAATAGATATCTATGTATAATGGTTTCGTACAAAGGTGCACCTTCGGAACACCAGAGATTACTTTTATTATTCAGCTTCTAAAATCGCTTATCTTTATCACCGTTACGTCTAACACTTAGTTAATATTGTTGAAATAGCGTTAAAATATATGAAAACTTCCTGTTGTTCGAAGAAATTTCGAGGAGACATAGAAAATTAAAATTATCTATGTAGGCGTTTAGTGGAGGAAAAGAGAGGGTTTCGTCCCCGGACGCCTTTAGTTCGGGCCGGGGACCGCTAGATGGCGGCGAGATGATCGGTGCCAGTATTCTCGCAAGCGGTCGCCCGGCATGCAGTCCAAAATAAGCAACTCGCTCGGGACCGAACAGTTGCTAATAAGCAACCTCGTAATAACGAAGCAGGTATGCTATTCGGCTTGACGAATGAGAGATCGTCAACATACGTCACTCGTAGAAACGAGTGAGAGATCCGAGGTAGCAGTAAACGGACCTCCAACTCATTTCTCGGACCTCTCGCTTTGCGGGCGACTTCAAACAAAGAAGAGGGGATAGCGCGTTACTTATTTCGAAACAGAGACCACTTACTTATTTCGAGGCAATCCTGTATGGATAGGAGTTCTGAATTGCGTCTGGGGCAGGGATCGTCTGTTGTCAGCCCCACTGACGAGTCTAAAGGCTGGTTCAGACACGGCTAGTAGTTTAGTCGAGTGGAGTAGTTTAGTGTATGGACACTACAGTTTAGTCGAGTAGATCCGTTTCATTGGATTTTTTTAGTCGAGTAAATTTCCCCCACCACTAACTAGGCTTCCGAACAGACCTATCCGGACCCATTTCTTTAGTCAAGCAATATATCTCGTACTCTAGATTTTCAAAGCTCAACTGTACTAGTCCGGACACTTTTCTGTGCGCTAAACGGTTTAGTAGTAAGTAGCTACTCCCCACTCGACTAAATTACTAGCCGTGTCTGAACCAGCCTTAACAGACGATCCCGAAACGCCTTTTTCTCCCCTCTCCTACAGCTATATTTTACTTGGAAATTTTTATTTCTGTAACTCAACACTGTGGATACACACGAGTGTCTTAAAACGATAGCAGGTTATGCTGAAGAGATTGGAAATTTGTTTTGCATGGATTAACTCGTCATAAACATTGTGTCCAGACAGGAGTTTGGCAAATCTCCAAAATACAGGGTCAACGCGGGATCGTGGAATTGGATTTTAGCCAGGCTCGAGCCACGATTGGACGTGCGTTGGAAGGAAATTTGGAGGGAAAAAAGAAATTCAACGTAAACGTTTCGCGATACCAAGGTTTATCGTAAAATTGTCGATGTGTTCCGGGTAAATAAGAAATTCGAAGGAAGGATAGGTTCTCTTTGCCGGGACTTTACATCAGCCTTTCTCGGTTCGTTCTTCCATTTTGCTTCGGTTCCTTTGAGAAGGCATTCGATGGAAACTATAAAGGTGCTCCGACGGCTACATCTGTCACGGAAATTTTATGTAAAACAGGATAAACGTCATCTCCATGAAACTGTGCTAGCGATGCTAGAGGTGCTGTTATTGATTATTGATGAGCCATCGTTACCTTATTGATACTATCGTTAAGCCTACTTGTGTAACCTAATCTAAATCTACATATGTTAAGCTTCTCTTTAAAGTTCCAGTACAAAAATAGATTTGAATGATAAAACCAATTTGCATTTAACCAAAAAACTACTGAATGAAGTTTATATAACGATCTGTGTAGTTTAATCAAATTCGCTGTTCATTTAGAATAGATACGACTCGAGGGAACAATTATGCAATGTTCCTAAATCACAAACTCAAATACGTTTGACTATCACCCGTAGAATAATCTTCTGGTACTATATGAACGATTCCTAATACTAACACCATTTGTCAAAGTTCAAAGTACACAAAGAATAATTGAAATTGGAATTCAACAATTATTGCTCGACACAATCATTATTTCTGGTCATATGACTTATCTGATGAAATTGTAATTTTCCAGTTAGTTTATAACGCGTGAAACAACGTCTCTAGTGTTTGCTGTTTCAATATGGACCTGTTAATTGAACGCAAACAAGCGTGGAAACACTGGCACGCCAAGAAAAACAAGAGAAATGGTTCGGTTGACGCGTAACCATGTTTGCAATAGTTTTTGACACTTCCATTATAGGAAATTGTGCGACGTTCAACGCTAGGTTATGAAACCCGAGGCACATATAATTACTTGTTTTCAGGATGGAATTATTGGTAATAAATAATACTGTTAGTTCCGGTATAATTACCACTAATTACTTCGATTTGAACGCTTTCAATTTGTATTAGGAATAATCATATGTAATTCCGCTAATTCCAATTTGAAGCTTGCAATTTGTATTAGGAATAATCATATGTAATTCCGCTAATTCACTTTGAAACTTGCAATTTGTATCGAAAGTAATAGGAATATTTTCATTTCGAAATTAAAGTCGCACTAACCATTGGTTTCTGAATTTCAGGAGACATGGTGCAAAAGATGGTGGTACATCTCCCAGAGGAATCTTTTCTTGACGACGAGCCGCTTTGCTCCAGGCTTGAGTCCAGTCCTCCCGAAAGAAGAGGAAAGTTCGAAGACGAAAACCGGTAAGTGATGAAACCAGATAAATTTGATATAAAGACAGTAATATCAGAAAGCTTTTCGGAGATATTCTCGAGAGCAAGATTATCTCGTTTTCTTTGCGTTCTAAGGCATTCTATGTATGAATTTTTCAATTCTCCGAGGCCTTTTGATCTACCGACTGAAATTGCATCGTTGACTTTGACTAGCTTATAAATCAACTGCTTTTTCGAATGCCTTTGTTCGTCAAGCTGAAACGACCTAGCGAATAGTTTCGTTGATTTAACGCATTCGAAATTCCTGAGAAACACAACTCAACCCGCGACTGTAGGATTCCGTATAAATAGATTGTTGTATTTAAGTTTATGTAGGTTGCGAAAACTGCGAAAGCTCTCCCAGGGGGGTGATTAAAGTGCATCGCATTTTTAGACGACGTTGCACAGTGTTTTAAATATGCACCATCGGGGAATAAAGCTTTCACGGTGTACGAGACAATTTTTATTTTCAGTGCTTAAAAGTCACTTTTCTTTATGCATTTTTAATATATAATAATTAATCGCTGACAAGCTTGTTTTGGACTTTCAAGATTCTAGGTACGACTAATTTTATTACATGTTCTTATGAATATTCTGCTACTTTTAATCATTCCAAGTGGACTGATATCATTTTCAAAAATAACAACTCATACCTTTCACCTATTTTTTTAATGAAAACAACAAGGATGAATTTGAAAGGATTAGGTGCAAGGAAATATTTTTATAGAATATTTATTATGTAGCCTGCAAACTACTGATATAACAATTTAACGAGAATACCGATCAAAAGATTCATTAACTTCTTTATGTACACTTGTGTATCTTTGCATTCTTTAATTAACCCTTATCCGATCCAGGTTAATAAAACTCAATAAAAATTTCTTTTCAGATAATTCTGAGTATTTTTCAAAATTTTATTTTGAAATATATTAGGTGTACAAATTAATTTGGTGCATTTTCTTTATTTTAATTAAAGATTTATTTTTAAAGAGCTATAATAATTCCAATTATTGAAATAATCTTTATTGTTATTATGTTGTCTTGTCACTTTTCAAATGTTCAAAACCGCGAGAAAATATTCAAATTAAAACTATTAATTAAGAACGCGTAATACTAAAAGCACCGAATTAATTTGTACACTTAATAATTAAATAGCAGAGAGTTTATTTAATGTGTTTTGTTTGATGACACTTGAGTGGAATTTCAGTAAATACACAATTGACCCGGCTATCGCTATTCAAGCTTTAACAAATAGGTAATCCGGATAAGGATTAAAATGATTGAATGTTACAACCATTGAAATTGCTCGTAACCATCGACGCTTTGATACATTTACGGCTTAATCGAATATCCAAGTTGCTCGTTGCTAGGAAACCTCCATTGACAATTGTACGGTCCTCGAGCTGCTGGCATCGCGTCTGCTTTCAAAGATGAAGAAGGAGCAAAAGTAATTGAATCCCATAGAAACAGCTCGTAACGGCTGTATCCTCGTTCGAGGATACCGAAAACTTTTACACGTGTATCGTAAAAATCCTAACCCGAAACTATCGGCTTTCCTTTGGCAATGTTCCCTCTTCGCTGCGTCAGCAGAAATCCTGAACTAATGTTACAAGATATCCCCATCTGCTCAAGAACTTTCCAAACGTTGGTTCTCGACGCCGTTCAAACTGTCCTCCAGTACCTCGAATTCCTCGAATTCCATTTTACCGAAATCGTCGTGGGTCCTCCAGTTATTCTCGTTCACTTGCCACCTGGTTAAAGCGCTGCCGATGAATCGGCTCGGATAAGTCGATTTAGCATCCTCCATGCTACCCAGTTTAAAGTCAGCTTTGAAACTCCTCGTCTCTTTCTTCTCCTCCTTCTTTGGCTCTAATCCGATCACTACAGGAGGTTCCCTTTTCACCTCCGACTGATTGACTCTTTTATTCTCCTCCCCGCTATTTCCTGGATCCTCTTTCTCTTGTTTCTCCAACGTGGTGATCTCGATACTCGGAGTCTCGGCAATGGTATACTGGCTCAGGTCCTCTGTCTTTTCGTTTCGATGCCTAAGGTGATTCTCCACCAGTCGGCCGGTTAATTCTAATCTACTGTCGCACGAGTTGCTCTTCACCAGACGAAATTTCACGTAATCGTTCGATCTGTCGATACACTTGAACCTGTTCCCGACCAATGGCGAGATCAATGGACCGTTGCTAGAGTTCACCACTTTGCCGCCGTAGTAAGTGACCGAAGTACCGCACTCGCGAATCTTCTTCAGGACGTCCTGGGACACGTAGTGGCTCGAACCGTTGGTGTGGTTATCCTCGTCGTGACAGTCGATTTCTTCGTCCTCCGAAGAGGTACATTGCACTCCGCTGCCGGGATCAGTGTCGGGATAATCGCTAGACACCCCAGAGCTCACGCTACCGGCATCCCAATTGTGATGATGATGATGATGATGATGGGGATGGTGATAACGATTCACTTTGTTCTTGGAGGAGGTCGAATCACTGGGTGACGTATGACCGCTCCTGGCTTCGAACGACTGTGCCAGCATTCTTGTCTTCGATTCGCATCGCGGACTGTCCAGTTCGTCTTTACCTCCTACCACGGACGCGTTGGATGACGTGGACTTCTCCATGTTCTCGAAGAGCTTGGTGAGATCCTTCGCCCTGCTGGAACACCTAGACCTGGTGGTAATTTTTTAGGATTATAACCAACGGTAGGATCCGTCTTAACGATTTCAATGATTTATATTTATGTAGGCGTTTAGTGGAGCGGGAAGGCGGTGAGTCTCACCGGACGCCCTTAGCTCGGGTCGGCGACCGCCAGGTGGCTGCGCGATTGAGTCTGTTCTCGCTGGCGGTCCCCTGGCATGCGATTACCCACAGTCGGAACCGAATACGGACGCTTAAATGGGGAGGTGACTTCTGCGAATTTAATTGAAGGAAGGAGAGGAGATGAGTGCGAGTAGGATACCGATATTCTATTCGTGCGAACGTCATTTGTCATTCCGAGGTTCCGTTTCCAAGAACTGGTGGGGATAGCGATGGACTCTTATGTGGGCAACAATGCGGACGCCTAATTGGGCACCTCTGTATATGAGTTCCCAAAAGCGAGGTTATAGGAGTCTGGGGCAGGGATCGTCTGGCAGACGATCCCGAGACGAAATGCCTTTTTCTCTCCCTACATTTAGTTGAGTTACATGCGTTTCAAAGACAACTGAAATCAGCAAGATGGACCCTTATTCTACGTAACTAGCTCGTAAATCTTACCTGGTTCCTTCGTGCACCTTCTGTGATATCTCGTCGAACTGAGCATCGTCTATGCTACTCAAATCCTTCATACTGACGCTCTTTCTATGCTTACAATCCCGCGATAATTCCGAGCCAGAGTTATTTTTCACTTTCAAAGTGTTCTCGAACATTTTTCTCACGTTTCTCACGGTGTCGGGATCGGGTAACTCCTCGTCTATCAGTTCACGATTCACCCGGATAGGATGATAGAAAAAGTGCTTTCTGATGGACGATTGCTTCGGACTTTTAGTGGATGCCCCGTCCGCGCTTTCACAGTTTCTCTCGCAATTCTCCTCGTCCGTCTTCTTTTGTATAGCCCCGGCAATTTTGCAGCTCGGCTCCGATCTCGCCTTTCCCACTGTCGCCGGCTTACGATCTATCGTCTCCGCTCGCACGGGCTCGATGATCACCACGTTGTTGTCCAGCAATAGTTCTTGGAAGGAATACTCTCGCAGATACTGCATCAATCCTTCGTAAGTGACGTCCCCGCGACTACCGTTGTACATGTTCTTGCTGAACATGTTCGACTTGACTATCTTGTAACGCACGTGATCAAACTCTTGCTCGTCGTCCTGAGACTCTATCGAGTCTACGCAACTGCGAGATCGAGTTAAGTTACTGTGAACCTTCTTGTTCTCGTTCGTTTTAGTAGAAGAAGCTTTATCCGTTGTCGCGTGATCCTCGTCGATGCCGTCGTCGACGGATCTTCTCCTAGTGTCGCTTCCGGATTCCGAACCTAATCCGAGATCCGAGCTCTCGGATCTCGCCTCGAAGCCCAGACTTCCTTTTACCACGCTGCAAGCCTTCCCTAGTATGCTCGACGTCTCCTTAACGATCCTCTCAAATCTACCCTCGTTCTGCTTACTCCTTCCATTCATCTTCTCGGGGTTCTTCTGTTCAAAGAAGTTCTTCGTGTTCTCCACGCTTGCGTTCGGTCCGTTCTCTTCTCGGGTAACATTCTGAAAAAGGAAACGGAGGTGTTGTTGATTTCTCATTTTTAGTACGAATCCAAGGAATGATTTTTAAACTCACCTCTGCCCTCTTCAAAGCCCCATCACCCTCCTCGATTTTCCTATCGGATTTCCCGTCCGCGCGAACACTCGATTCTTTCCTCTCGTCCCGTTGTTTTTCTTCAATTTTATCCTTCATGCTGAGATCAATTTCTGTGGTGAGACGACGATGCCGCCTCTTGGTCACGTCGTTATCGACAACCTTGAGTACCTGAGGCCTCCGGGACATGTCTTCCGGTTCCTCGCTGTCTGAGATCCAAATTGATTTGTAATCTTCCGCCTCCTCCACCCGTCGATCCAGCTGTTTCTCGCAGGCTGTGACTAAACCCTCGTTGCCTCTACGATTCTCCTCATCGGGCTTCGACGACGCGTATCGTCGATCCTTTGGCTTGCCTTTAAAGCGACTTAACGAGATTCTATCGACGAGGGAAAGTTCTTGTCGACGATCGCACGCTTCCTCTTTCGTCTGTTCAGGCGACGAGTTCTCTCTGGATCCTTGCAAGGAGTCCGGATCCTTCCCGTCTTTGTCTTGATAAATTTCCACGCGAATCTCCGGCGAACTGTTCTCCTCTTTCGTACTGCTCTCTTTACATTTCTCCTCGTCGGTCGCGTTGCTCCTCGTCGACGACTTCTCCTCGACGACCTGCGACTCCAAGTACTCGAGAGACCTCAACTTGTTACCTTCCGCATTCGAAGTATCCCTCGC